TGAATTATCAACACTGATGTCTTCACTGTATTCTTCTGTCTTGTGTTGACATAGATGTTGTCAATTTAATTATTCTTATTTTGTTATCATCCTCACAGGGCCAAATGTTGACTTCTCTCAACTCGAAACACCAATTGAATAACTTCCTTACTAACTGGGGTGTCTGCAGAACTTTCCTTTTATTCCTGATACAAGTTGACTGCACTTCTGTATTTAATGTCAGTGTTTTTTCTTAGTTTTCCACTTCCTCTGCTCTATCATGAATATTTGCTATCTATTGTCAGTATACATGTATATCTGACAACTTTCAATGGACGCAATTTGTGGATCTGAAAAAAAACCTTAACTTAAACTTGAAGACTCTAACTTAAATCTTGTTACAGTATTGTAACATTGAGTCTTAATGAGAACTTAATGGAGTCATCTTATAATCTTCTCTTTGCCACTTAGACCTCTTCCAAGATTCTGACTGAAAAAAGTTTTTTCTATTCTTCTTCACAGTTTTGAGTTTTTAGCAAAACAGAAAACAGCCCTTGTTCGTCATGTGATTATGATAGGTAGATAGCTAACTTCATCAAGACTTGCAAACATGTGCCATGGAGCACTGGGCCTGTCTGACACATGAGTTGAAAATGTTTACCATTCAACTTACTCATTAAGAAACTTCCAAGTGTAAAAATCTGAACTATCCTTTTCAAATCTTGTGGACTAAAATGTGACTGGCCGCAAACATGCGGCATAGAGTTTCACACTTATTCTCCTCCTCTGTTCTAATAAGTACACATCCTATTCAAAACTATAGAATCAGACCAGGACTTGCCATAAACCAGTGGCATGATGTATGTTCTGTACCATATATACTTGCCTATCTGTTCCTGTTCTCAAATTCATATCTAGATCAGGATCCTCTTTCATAAAAGATATCTAGGTCCTGAGATAGGTGCTGTCCTTGGTGCTGAATTCCATGGTGCTGAGAGTGTATCTTAGCTGTCTCCAACTTCCTTGAATGATTTCCATCTCTACTGGCTGTTCTTTTATGTTTGGTGACAACATGTTGCTGGTGTAATGGTGAGTTTCTAAGCCATCATATCATCAGTGTTGATCTAACTATGATATCAGTAGGCATATCTGAAGCTCTTTGGATTATACAGCTGGCATACGACGTGTCCTTGGTACTGAATCCAGGCTTGTTGTAAATGTGACAGATCTTAGTACAACTTCCTTGAAAGATTTGTTCCAGTACTAGCTTTTTACCACAGTTCCTGGTTCAATATTCATTCATTACGCATAGTTCTATATGAACTGTTTTGGTGCTTGCATCGCTCTCCGTCAACAAATACAAAATGATACTTTGTTTGATAACTATTTTATGACTTGTTTCTGATATATTTCCTGTAGTGACCAATTTTGTTCTTCTCTTTCCTTCTCATCTGCTTGTAAAAAATTGTAGAGTTTAATCTCTGAACGTGCATAGTTCATTCAGTAGTCCGAACTCTCTTTCTTTGGTAGTTTTCCCCATGTATGACCTGTTGTACTCTCTTAAGCAACTCACATCGTCATCAGTTCACCGGAGCCTACCTGGTGAGACCTCTATGGCCCAGCTTAGCTCCATACCAGAGTGATTAAACCTCATTTCCTGTATCAGGATAATTTGGTCTGCATCACTTCTGCAAGTTCTTTAATCTTCTGTCTGATATATTTCCTGTAGCAACCAATTTGATTCTATCCTTTCCCTCTCATCTGCTTGAAACCAAACATTGAGTTTATGAATGTGCATAGTTCGTTCAGGAGGCTAAACTCTGTTTCTTTGGTAGTTTTCCCCATGTATGACCTGTTGTACTCTCTTGAGCAACTCACTAGTCATCAATATACCATCTTCTACATGGTGAGACCTCCATGGCCCAGCTTAGCTCCATATGCCAGAGTGATTAAATCTCATTTCCTGTGTCAGGCTAGTTTGGTCTGCATCGCTTATAAGTTCGTTAATCTTCTGTCTGATATACTTTCTGTAGCAACTAATTTTGTTCTACTCTTTCCCTCTCATCTGCTTGTAACCAAACATTGAGTTTAATCTCTGAATGTGCAGAGTTTGTTTAGTAGTCTGAACTGTTTCTCTGGCACATTATAGTTTTCCACATGTATGACCAGCTGTACTCTCTTGAAGAACTCACTACTCATCAATTCATGATGTACAAGACATGTGATCTAGTACTACATGCATTAACACTTGATCATTTTTAAACTTGTAAAGTAGATGACAGTGTTATTTGCAGTATAGGATGTCGATGTGATACTATTAAACCTCTGTGAACTGAATACTTCTTATGATCAGTTGTACAACATGTACTCCCATTGAGTTGTTCGACTATTGCGTCTTGAATCTTCAATCCTAGTCCACCCATGATATCAGAGTATATCTTGAATCATTTTCTCTCTTCTGAACCTAATAATTCATATCTTGGTATAAACTATTTCATGAAGCAAATTCTTATTTCAAGTATACATTCCTCCATATAACTATCATTTTCAAAATGCTATACAGCTGCAATCCTGCCTGTCACTTTTGGGTGGTTTGATTAGCAACATTTCAGGATGCCCTGGAAGGGGCTAGTTATTGTCATCGTCGTATAGCCACTCAGTTCCCTGTGCCAGGGTGTTTCTTCAGTCTTTTCCTTTCCTACATAAGGCTTAGTTTGGTCAGTTATGGTCTTACTTCTGAATCTTCTCAAAAAACATATTATTTCAGCATTTATAAGTTATAAGCTAAAAGTCACTCAAGAGTGTCTGACCTTCTCCCTATCAAAATTGTTCTCTACTCTTCTGCTTGTATCCCAACATAAGTCAAAATGCTGGCAAAACATAATCATATTCTTCAAACTGCTGAGTTTTAAGCCCATTTCTCCAGCTGGACCCATGTGGATGTTTCACCTGTCTCTTCCCAGGATTGAAACTAACCTTGTCACAGCAGAGTGACCCTAACAGTCAGCATTATGATAATGCTCTGTATTATCAGTGGTGGTTGTGTCGTCTCCTCATGTTATCTATACCTATATCCTGGTGCTAGATAATGTTTTATTTCAGGTCTTCTCTTTCTCTTGTGGCTTGCAACTGAGGCCAATTATTATATAATTTTTCTTAATCATTTTCTGCCTGAAGAATAAATGCAAATAACGTGGACAAAATAACATTTATACAGGGTACAAAATAGTATAAAATCTACATAATAAGTCTACATAAATTGTCTGAGACTACTAGTATGTCTGAGTGGTTTGACTTTGGTAAGCCACCTTTTCCCAAATTTGTAGGTATGGGTAGTATAAAGTGCAGGATGCAGGCTTGCTAAGACGATGATTTTACAACATGTAGATTTCAAAAGATTTACTGACAGAAACTTGTTAATATAAGAGTTTGAAAATCCCTTCCTAATTTTGGGTCAATTTTTGTTTGGTACTCACCTGAGGCATCTTTCTGACAATCTTACTACTTCTTTCAAGAGCCTAAATTATGTTCTAGCATGTACAATTGTGATGTACATTGATGTCCCCACAAAGACTAGTCACACATAGAATGCAGATAATCCATATATCCACTATTCAGATTTTGCCCAATAAAATAATTATAGCCTGTTACCAAGTGCTTTTCTCCATTTTTAAAACTCTCCCTCTTTCTCTCTCTCCTAGTAATACTCAGATAACTAACTGTAACATTTTGTCCTTTTCCTGTGTTTTTCTTCTCTCTACTTGAGGACAGAGAACCTCTGGTTTCTGTGGCTTGAAGGCAGCAAAAAACAAGGCAGCAAAGACAAGTTTCATTTGTACAAACATTTGACAAACTAGTCCTGAGTATTCTCACTTCTTTTTAATATTTCCATTACATACACAAGTGTATGATGAAAAATTGATTTGTTTTGGATACTTTCCCATTTTTACCTGCACCCAGTTAATAGGTGATATGTGTGTCTTGAACATTTTCTAATGAAATTATTCTCTTCTCTTTGAACTTTTCTGTGAGCATGCCAACTTCTCAGTATCTTTTCTTACCATTGGTTGAGAGCTACAATGGTAATGATGACAGAGGTAATGATGATGATGATGATGATGCAAGATTAGCAGAAAGAAAAATTACAGATTTACAATAAGACTATGAATTAAGAGCCTGTAAAATGTGGTTGTGAATATGTAAGTTAAAAATATCTTTAAGATATAAACTTAATATACATATTCCATAATTCATACCATAGAAGCAGTTGATCACTTATCAATATTTAATTCAGTCATTGAATTATTCCTACAAAAGTCTTGAAAACCAAAAATAAAAATCTGTTTTTGTAGATGAGAAAAACACTGCAGTAATGTATCAATCTTACTGTTCTTAAGTTATAAGCTGTACAATGTAATGTGGAATTCAAACTGATGATGCCAACATGTACATGTACTTCCTACAATGTTTGATTTGATTTGATTTATTAGACTATATTGTACATATTGCATAGAGAAATAAAGTATAAATTTGAGCTGATGTGTTTCTGTCCTGTTTGTCTGCTTTCTTTCTTCAAGAAGTATAATGTGTTCAAGTGATCCACACTCATTCCATTTATAGGCTCTCACAAGAGATAACAATACTCTCCAAGCAGAGGTTTGGGTTTTGTTTACTGGACTTTCTTTTTTTGCAATGGTATCACTGGTAACAAGCCAAAACCCAAACCTCTGCTTGGAGATAACAGGTGGTTGGAGTGATTTTATGCACCGTGCAGCAGCGCCACCTACTGATTCATACAGAAGTGCAAAAGAAAGCACTGAATACTGATGGCATACAAACGATCTCGGCGATTTGTACTATTACGACGCTAAATCTTTTCACGAACGTTACAGAGCTAATAAATTGCTGATAGAGAATTATAAAAAAATATTTGTTGACTTGATTGTTGTGGTTGTTTTTGTTTTGTTTCGCTTTTTTTTTTGCTAACATTTTTCTAATGGTTTCTACGTTTGCATGCCATGTGGTGACCCTTGACATCCACATGTGCAAGCACGAACCTGAAATTTCTCTTAGTTTCTTCCCTCAAATTCCTCCCCAAAACCGTCATTATGAAGAAAACCACTGCTTCCAAAACATCAGAGGAACCAGATTCCTTCGTCGAGCTGTGTAGGGAGTTTTTAGTGAGCGGTTTTTCCGCGATTCCGGTGAAATTCGGCTCCGCGTGCCTGGCGTGCCAGCTTCTGTACTTCAAACCGCACCAGGTCCGTGGGACAGACGACAGCAGACCGGCGGACAGGACGCTGTTTGTGCTGAACGTGCCGCCGTACTGCACTAAAGACTGTCTCAACAGGCTCTTCTCAAGGTAACCAGTAGAATTTTTGCCAAAGTTGCCGTTGTGCGGGCTACGTATACCTTGGCACCTGCGATGCAAGTTTGCCTGGAATGGGAGGGGGGCTAGTACAGTAGCTGATATGATTATTAGCGACAAATTATGTGATGAACAGAAGTATACCCCAAGTGCCGCCGTACTTGAGGACTGTCTCAACAGACTCTTCTCAAGGTGAGCAGCAAAATATGTGCAGAAATAATTTGTTGTGTGGGCTATCGTATGTCCGTGAGCCTGCGAGTCAGGTTTTACTGAAATGGGGGAGGGGGGCATTAAATCTCTACAGTATCATATTGATATTTGATCGATGAAGTATGCCCAAAACCCGCCTTACTGCAACAAGGACTGTCTGAACAGGCTCTTCTCAAGGTAACTTCTGAACTCCTTGCCAAAGTTGTGGTGCTGTGTGCCTCGGAGCCTGCGATGCAAGTTTGCCTGAAAATGGGGGAGGGGGGCGTTAAATCTCTAGTACATGTAGCTGATATAATTATTATGTGATGAACAGAATTTGCCCAACGCCACACTGCACCAAGGACTGTCAGAACATGATGTTCTCGAGGTAATCAGTGAGTAGAATCTTAGCAGAAGTTGCCACTGTGTGTGATATCATGTATGCTTGTGAGCCTGCGAGTCAAGTTGACTGAAATGGGGAAGGGGGCTTTAGTAGTATTGTTATATACATAGTAGTGACAATATGTGATGAACTGTACCCAGATGTTCCTGTAGGTGCAGTGTTTTCTTTCTAAGAATTGATCTTTTACTGTCAAGTTTTATGTGTGAAGCCACAGTGAAGGTTTAAGCACTCAGTACTCATACATTTGCAGATGTGGTAAGGTGGAGGCTGTACTTTTCTGTGAGCGGCCAGGAGGACAGATCCACACGACAGATGACACCAGCACGTTCTTCCCAAGGTCGCAGGAAATCAGGACGTTCAAGGTCGCGTACGTCGTGTTTGAGAAGCCATCGGGGCTGAGGAAAGCTGCGGGGCTGAAGCTGTCGGAACCTTTTGTGCTGTCGACAAGAGACCAGCCGGTTGTGACTGGTATGAGAAAATGGTGCCAGAGATACACACAGGACAGGCCGGATGTGGCAGAGTTACAGGTCAGTATGGTAGGGTCACGATCAGGGGGCAAAGTTACAGGTTGCTTTAGGGGCCAACTAAAAGCTCAGGACAGGTTAAGGTCAGGATTTTAATTCCTTGTAATCTAGAAGCTTTTTCTTGATTCTTATAAGTTGTATGTTCTGTTTTCATAGTTACTAATATTATTTGTGGATATAAAAATGAGCTTTACAATTTGATGGTGGGGTATGAGTATGACAAGTGTACACCGTATTTAGGGGAGGAGTCAGGTCAAGTCAAATGTCTCCCCAGATTTTGATGTACAGTATTGAATTTGTATTGTCATGGATACCAATGTAATGTTATTTCTGTATATAGAGTGAGCTGGACAGCTACATGGCAGAGTACGACAAACATATTTAGAGCTGACTGAGTTGAATGTCTCCCCTGATTCCTATGCATTGTGCAATCCTGCAGGTGTTATCCAATGTTTTTTGTGTATTTAGAGTGAGCTGGACAGTTACATGTTGGAGTACGACAAGCGTACTAGTAATGTAGATGTCTCCCCTGATTCTGATGTCCAGTGTTGTGTCGTGACAATCATATTTACCATTATTTTTGTGTATATAGAGTGAGCTGGACAGTTACATGGCTGATTACGACAAGCGAAAGCAGGAGGAGCTGGAGAAGGAGAAGGCACAAGGGGAGGAACCTGACGAGGAAGGGTGGATCACGGTTGGTCATTCTCTGTTCTGTTTTAGAGGAGTGGTTTGTGTTTGCTTCTACATGTGTGTAAGTGTGCATGCAAGAGTGTGTGTGTGTGTGTGTGTGAGTGCTCGTGTTTGTGTGTGTCTGTGTATGTGTGCGTGTGTGTATGTGTGTGTTTGTGTGTGTGTGTGTGTGTGTGAATGTGTGTGAATGTGTGTACTATGAGTTTGTGTGTGTGTGTGTGTGTATGTGTGTCTGCATACATGTGTGCGTGTGAGTGACTGTGCATGCATGTGTGTGTGTATGTGTATACTGTATACTGATGAGTGAGTGTGTGTGCATGTGCATTTATATATAGACAGGGCTTTATTCAAAGAAATATTACACGTAATACTGTATGCAAATCACATAGATGAAATTCTATTTCTGATAAATCTTTTATAAATTCTGCTGTGTTACTGAATCTTTGCTCACGAATGTTTCCCAGGTGACCCATCACGGCCGAACCCCCGGTGCAAAGATTCAGTAATACAGCCTAATTTCTAAAAGACCACAGCATGCTTTGTGTGACTGACTGTGTGTGTGTGTGTGTCTGCGTGTGCTTTTATTCGTTTGTGTACACATAGTACATGACTAAAGAAATCATGTGACTGAGAGGGAGAATTATCAAAGTTTCTTAGCACTATTGCCAGTGTCCATTGAGTTAGCTGCTAAGCTGTGTTGGCATATTTAGTTCTATGAGACCAGCATGTTACAAGTATGCAAATGACATATGATAGATTAAACTGTTTCAAGTTAGATTTCTGAAAGATCTTTTAGAAAGCCTGCTGTATTACTGAATCTTTGCTCACTAACATTTCCCAGGTGACCCGCCATGGCCGAACCCCCGGCGCTCCCCGTACAGAAGCCATGGAGAAAAAGGCGCTGAAACGGGAGAAGAAGAAACGTTCTCGGCGAGAGTTGATGAACTTCTACACGTTCCAGATCCGGGAGTCCAAACGAGAACACATCGCACAGCTCAGGAAAAAGTTTGAGGAAGACAAGGATAAAATAGCTGCGATGAAGGCTAACAGGAGGTTTAGACCGTACTAACTGTTGATTTAAACCTATTGAAAATAAGTTGATTGTAGATCACAGTGCAAAGAAATGTTTAAGACTAGGTTTTCCAGTGTAAAACTCCTAGACTAGCTTGTACAGTACTCGGTTGTCAGTGTGAAACTGGAAAAGTGTTGAAAAACATGGTAAATACTGTAAATTTGATATATTCACAGTGGTTTTACTGTTTTCATGGTTGGCTCTCACTTCATCCAAATCACACTGAAAAAATGGTGTGTTGTGCATTGCGTTCTTGCGACTGTTTCAACCGCAGACTTAAAACACTGAAAGCAGCTCCTCTTTCAGACCATCTTTTTGGTTGTGGCAATGAATTCACTAAATAAATATAGGAATTCTGAAATTAGTTGTTGGAATTATGTCATACAGTCCCCTCCACAGTTTCAATACATTCACTAAAACCCAGAACATTTCAGCAGTGTATTTTTTCTGCCAGAAATTTAGCTTATTTCCAGAAATGACTGTACTTAAAAAATCTTTTAAACATGGAGCTTTACAAGTTCATTCTTCTCTCTCTTTCTCTTGAAGTTTTGAAAAAAAGATGAATGTTGCAATTCGGTTCTTTTTAAAAAGATTTTATTTATTCAGATACCTTCAATCCCATGATATTACATGATACCATGCATACATGATATTATACAGACTGGTTCTCCATTTGTTTACAAACAGGGCTGGAAATAATCCAATCTTAGACCTAAGTACATGTACATCGAAACACTTTATATTGATAAACTAATCAAATTTAGAACTAAATACACTTAAACAAGTTTTAATGATGAACTAATTAGGCCATACTGACTTAATTTTATGGATGACATCCGCTTAGAAAAACTAAATACACCCAAACATGTTATGTTGATGAACTAATAATCCAAACTTAGAACAAAATACACCTAAACAGGTAATAGTGATGTACTAAAAATCTAAACTTAGAACTGCAGTAAATACACCAAAACAGGTTATAGTAATGTACTAATAATCCAAACTTTATACACATTTACAGGTTGTAATGATGTACTGATATTAGTAATCAAACTTCCCCAATAAGAGCTAAAAATGCACGCAGGCTAAAATACACCAAAACACATAAGTTACAAAATACACAGGTGCACAACTCAACATGCTACAGTGTATATGTACACCAGTTTTCTACTCTTAAATGTAAGATAAGTAATGCTTTTGCAGATTTTTACTAGGACATAGGAGTACAGATGACAATTCAAAAAAAAACATCTAGAGACTTGCGTAGCTATTCCTGTTTTTCTGGCATAATCTACTTGTGTCTGTATAACATTAATGATCTAACTAAAGAAGGGGTTGACTGATTTTTAATATGTAGGTAACTTAGGTAATGCTTCAATTATGCGAATCAGGATATATTTTCCATTATAAATGAGGAAAATCTATAAATATGTTTTTTATGATCGGGCTATATATTATCAAGATATGCAACTAAGACAGAGACAAAACACCAGATATAAAAAGTAAAGGAGACAGTGGAGTCACGTACACTTTAAGTAGTCAAGAACTAATTCAATGCTTCAAAACAAGACTGGATAAACACTACGTGGGACTTGGAGAAATACCAAGAATGAGAAGAGGGTGTTTATGAAATGCAAATGATACCTGATTTGCATAATTACGGAGACCATGGGCGGTCAGGTACTAGAGATTTTTCTTCAGTCTCCTTTGATTGTTCTGTGTCCTTTTTTTTCTTTCCTTTTTTTCTTCTTTTCCCCTCTTTCAGTGTTTTATGAAGAATAGCCATGTAATTGTATCTTTCAATGACATCAATGTTGGCTTTCAGGAATGTGTACATGAGATGGCAATCAGTTACATTTCTGATTTTCGGGAGAAATGTATCGGTCAAAGCATGGAGGTAAATTTCTACCTCCATGGTCCAAGTTGGCTCTGGACCATCATCTGAATCATCATTTGTACATGGAATACTGACCCCGACGTCACTGAATGGCTTGTCTTCAAGACGACAGTGGAGGTTAAACATGTCAGCAAAGAAGGTGAGCCCAGTAGACACCAACAAGCAGATATTTATCCACCATGTAATTTGATACAGAGATGCAGACGTCACAGAACAGTTTACGGTCAAGTCTTGGTTCACAGTACAGGTAAAGTTGTCCTGAATGCTACTCACAAAAGCAGATCGAACAAACAAAAAAAACAAAAAGAAAATCACTGCCAAGACTGCAATGGATACCTGCTTAGCCAGATAGCAATTGTATAACTCATAATTGGAAAGCAAATCGTGAATAAATGTCTCAAACTGCTCTTTATCAGAAAGTTGTAGGGGCTTTCTTGGATGGTGCTCTGCTTCGAGCCTTAGGGCCTTATACAGATCCTCAATATATTGTTTTATGAAGTTTAGATTACAAATAACCTCCCTGCCTCTTGTAATGTTCCAGACTAGTTGTGGTGCGAACATAACAACAGACTGTGCCACTAACATCAAGGTAAACACCCTGTAATCAAATGTCGTCTGCTTTCCACAATAAGCATTCACAAACTCATCCAGCTGTTGTGAATACAGATCTGGATCCCTGAAGCCGGCCTCAGCTGACGACCCGTTTACGTTATCTGTATTTGCAGTTACAGCGCTCGCAAGGTGCAGTGGGAAGCACTCTAGGCTCGGACCTGAACATACATGTAGAATGGAGTTACAGATACTTCCATGATATTGAACAAATTGTACTTTAATAAGAATTGGTACAGCATTTGATATAGGAACTTTTCAGGGGTCTCCACCAATGTGAGATACGGCCCCCTGTGTACCAGCATTATTTCAAATATCGCAGATTACAGACATGACGAATCATATATTATATACGGGCGAGACAAATACTGCCTTGGTTGAGATTGGCCGATTCGTGCGTATGTCGTACAAAATTCAGCCGTCTTGTCAAAAAGGCAAACAAAAGTTTGTTCTGTCACGCTGACTCCCAACCTAGCCCCCTTTTCAAAATCGTATACGTACGACGCCTTCAACAAATGTGTCGTGCCGTCTGGCATGCATGCACTTTTGAGCTTTGATTATGCGTATGGATACCATGGAATTGAATAGAAATTTATTAACTGATGTCCTGATTTCTCTATATACATGTATGATCGTAAAGTATATTGGTGATAATGGGTACTGGACATACCAATAAGATTCCCTCCAACCACAGCACTTGCCAGAGCAAGGGGCATCCAGCACGATAAGACCCTGATGAGCGCGTCAGCCCACAACTCGGCCCGTAGGGCGTTCGACGACGGCGTATTCAACAAACGCCCGATGGTTTCCATGTCGACTGTACTGCAACTGCAATAAAGAGTAGATAAGACCAGTGAGAGACATCATATTTGCATATATGCACTGCTAAAATGCCATGTAGATGTGGGCCAGGTGATGTATATTGTGGAAATTAGGACCCGGTTATATATTTATATATATAGCTATATATATCTATCTATCTACATCTCTCTCTCTCTCTCTCTCTCAGTATATATACATATATATATATATATATA